GGGTAAAAGAATTTCTGAAAATGTTTTTGGGCAGCTATGTGCGAGATTTAGAATTTTTTTTCGAGTGATTAACCTTGCACCACAGAATACAGATCATGTAATCAAAGCAACATGTGTCCTTCATAATTCACAAGCCCTGTTGGAAAAGTTCCTGGACAGATGCAAATTGAAAACCCACAAGACATCTTAGATCACTGTAAGGGGTTGTCTTAATTCTTTGGAAAAAAGAGGATTCATGGATCGAAGGACGCTATTGAAGTTCGCAACAAGTTTGCCCAGTATTTTGATTCAGACGCTGGCAAAGTTGCATGGCAGAACAAGCACTGCTTTGGGAAATAAATGTACATTACAGTATATCATTATAACCTGTCTCTTATACACATCTAGATGTGTATAAGAGACAGCCCTAATTGCGTTCGATGCCAAGTTAGAGCCAGATAAACAGCCAGCCAGTTTCAGGCCGTCGACGTCACACGGTGGAAAGGCTTGTTTAATAAAACATCTACTGTATTTTACGAACCTCTAGTACCAAGTGGTATTTGTTTAAAAAAAATTGTGAACTACTGTAGAGAAAGTGTGAGTTTCCACTACCTAACCTAGCCGACCAGTGCAGCAGCGTGTTATATCGCAATCTAAGTACTGTAGTAGATTCTCTAGGCCCTAGCTAAATTTACCTTCGATAAAAAAACGAATTATTTTAATCGCTAGCTAGCATTCTTCCATTTAACAAAATATTGTTTCAATTTTCATTAAAACGTCTATATACTTTATGGACCTTTCTGTCCTGTTTTGTAGTTTGTAGATCGCTCAATTGTGTTGTTTACATGCACTTGCGAAAATCTAGTTTCAAATAAGTTGCTGACTTCCACACACTTTTTTATTTCATTATCGTAAACATGTGCGCTCATTTTAATAACTGGCGTTGGTGGTAGTTCTTTCAAACTGAATTAATAGCGACTATTATAGCAGAAATGGAAAAGATTGAATTGTCAATAAATAAATACAACAAATCTGATTTAATTATTAAGAAAAATATACATTATCACTTTGAAAAATGTACACAATTAGACTTTTTAACGTTATTACTTGGTCGATGATGCAAAGGACTATTCGTAAAACGGACATTGCTTGGTTTTTACCCATAATATTACAAATAATTTCTGAAAACCAGACTAATGAGACTACTTTGATGCTGTTGTTAGCATTGTTGGAGTACGTTGTTGCCAGCCAGAAGATGATATGGTGGTACAATACAACAACGCTGGCTTAGATACTACGTTACGTAATCGTGTCCTTGTAATCCGAACCGAATTTACCGTTAAGCAAGTTAATTTACCATTATTCTAGTAAAGTTAAGTCACTTAACTTAAGTCACTTAAGCCTTTTATCTAGCTATAATTGAGTGGTTCACGTCAAACTTTTAACTAGTTAAGTGGATGTATATCTAGATAAAACTTCGACGTGAACCAGGCTATTGTTTGATCAAATAATGAAAAACAAAATAAAAATAATAAAATCATCTTATTCATCAATTGTGCCCATAACTTCCTCCTCTAAAGCTCTATTAGGCTTCATTACCAGACTTTCCATATCCGCTGGTAGATCTTGTAGGGAGGAAATGCATCGGTTATTCCCCCGACTAGTACTATGACCTCTACCAGCGATCTTCTGAAGCCGTATGGAACGTCGGACAGGCGTCACTAAAAACCGTTGAGAACTGCCATCCATGCTTTTGTTCAATCTGTTGAGATCATTTTAAATGTCAATAAATATATAGCTAATATCAGTCACAAGTAAATAATAATATAGTACAGAATACCCTCAATTTTACGTATGGGACCGGAGAACGTACGTAAATTGGGCAATTCGTTAAACCAAGGTTCGTTAAAATTTGTGGTGACCTTTGACTTAATATGTACCCAACTCTCAACGTATGTTATGAACGAACGATGTTACTTCCTAAGAATAAAACCATGTGTTTAGTGTTTTTATTCATCATTTTATGATGTCATAATAAAGTGTTCAAATCAAACCATATCAGTTTATTAATACATCACTTCATATGTTTTATTTAACTAAAGAACATGAAAAGATTACCTATACAACAAAGGTTTAGATTATAACGTGTGTTAAATAGACACAATCAATGTTGCTGTTGAATCAAATAATGAACAGACAGGAACTAACAAACCTCTCTTTACATTATAGTGGCCCTCAAAAGGGCCGTTTGTTTTGAGCATTTGGGGTTTTTTGATGACATCATAGTCCATAGGAAGCCTACTTAATACTGAGGGTTCGTATAACTGAGGTATGTAAAAACGAGATTCTACTGTAAATGGGGTAAAAAAACACCAATAATACACAGTACTGGATTTGTTGGTTGGCTGTCCTTCCCTTCCCTTCCAGGACTGAGATTCTGTATTCAAATCATACAAATGTCAAGATTTTCTCAAGACTAAACAGTAAACACAATTTCTGTTATAAATTTCTCAAGGATTTGAACCAAGAATATTTTGGTTTGGAAGACAAGTACTTTTAACCACCAAGGCTGGTCCACTTTATTATAATAAAGTAACTTAATGGTCCATTCTAATGTATTTATAATAAAATAATTCAATGGTTCATTTTAATGTATTTATAATACTTTATTTAGCAAATAACTCAATGTTGTTGGAAATTTGCATGCTTTAATGCATTTTTGAACATAAAAAAGAGAGAAACAACAATGAAACTATTAATGATTATTATAAAACCTTATTAAAATGCTGTGATTGTATTGATTTATTGGGTTGTAGACTTACCGGTTTACAATGGGCGTGGATTTAACAAGAGAGTAACGGACCACAGATGATGTACCCTCCTCCACCTTGGGGGTGGGGCAGTATTTTCGGGTGCTTGACGACACTGGCCCAGGTGTGCGTAGGAGAGGTTTTGGAGTTGCAGAGGGTGTAGTGTCCATTCTTTGTGAGTATCTGATTGTGAAATCTTGTAACGCTGATTTCAAAATGTCAGTGGGCTGCCATAAGAAAAGAATGTGTTATAACACAATGGTTTTCAAGATTTTTATTTAGTTGGGCTTTGGGCAACACTTTGGCCTCATTACTATTAAAAAATATTTAATTCTTGTTACAGTATTATGAACATAAATTAGGATTTATCTGTATCATACAAAGGCATTCTTACCTTTGCTTTGTGATCAATTGCTTGTTCATACAAAGCGAGGACATGCTCTTGACCAAAGCCAACAGTCTCAGCAACTTTAGCTCGACAAACCCAAAACAAAGCTCTACTTCTTACTTGAGGGCAGCGTTCATGTAGCTCTTCTAGCCAATCACTAACTTTCCTTTCATTCTTTATCTAAGATATTAAAAGAAAAATCAAAAGTATGTCAACTATATATTCACATTCCTACAGTATAAGAATCCTTTAAGTATTCACCTATAACATAAACTAAAATGCAATCAAAAGCTGTTGTTTGTTTTGTAGTATTTTAATATTATATTATATTATTCGTCATTAACACTTTTTTTAATGAAAATTTAAAAGATAGGTTTTCATGATTTAATTAGATCTTTAAGGTTTTATCAGATCTTGTTTTTATCAGATATTTCAAAATTTTATTCGAACTTTAAAAAATCGATGAAATTTTAACCTCGTTCATGAAACCAAGACAGCTGTGAAGGCATTCATCGAGGGCGCAATTCACGTCCACTTCACTTCTTTCCAAACGGGCATCCTCATCCACTTGAACACATTGCTCTAGTTCTGGACTGAGTCTGACAACATCAAATGTTTCTCGCCGAACATTTCTTTTGACCGTGTGCGGTGTCTTACCCTTTGCTGTAAGCCACTCTTCCAAGCGAGCCCTACCAACAAATAATTTGTAAATTATTATTATCCAAATTTTCTATAAATCTCTGTCCAGACTAACAAGTTTTTGTACATCATAATTCCCATATATGGGTGTGATATGAGATCACTATGTCCATATGAACCATCAAGTTTTCTGCATCATGTGATATCATAATGCCCATATAGCCTGATATATGACATCATTATGTCCATATATATGGATGAGAAATGACATTAAGAAAATAATAAATATCCTCTGAATTTAATCTAAGAAAATATAATACATATAAATTACCAAAATTCACAATTAATAGGTACAAAAATAGCCCCACACCACAGCTCATAAATATTATAAATCAAATTATCAGAACCAACAGACCACAATATTTCTTTTTTGCTCCATTTCTAAAAAAAAAAAAATTAGGGCACTAGTACTGAATGTCTGTACTCCAGCAGTACCATGTTTTGCTATGAATTTACCTTCTATTTTTCTCAGTCTTGTTTTCATTTACCAAAGTACTCTGCAAATCTCCAGACTTGATGAGATCACCTGAAGACACTCTTATCACCTCAAGTCCTTCTTCCTCCAAACTCATTTTAACTGAATTGATTTCTGTCATGACATTTTCCTTTAAATTTATCACTTCCCTTTGAGTTGTATCAACAGGACAAAGGAGTTGACCAGGAGTTAACTTACAAGCTTTTGCTTGACCGTAGTACCCCCGGTATTTGCTTGTTACAATGTCTCTTAGTTTGAAGCTTGTGTCTGGCTGCCAATCCAGGCGACTCACTGCTAGCTTCCTCTTATTACTGTTCCATGGTCGAATCTTAATCTCTGCTTTTTCAAATTCCATTCGCTTTTTTTTTCTCAACAAGCCAGGCTTCAAGTTTTTCTCTAATAAAGACAAAATATGGCACCAATCAATGTAAAGATTTTTATTATTTTCTTTTTAGTATGGTATCTATCAGTGATAATTCATTCTCCCCTTTACCATGCTATATGTTTAGATATAAAAGTAGATTGTGTTTAGTTCATTAAAACAAATAAACTTGTTATTGATTTGTCAGGCACTTTTGTATTCTTTACCATAAGAAAAGTCTTAAACAACAACCGCGCATATTTTAACACTTTTTTTTAGTTTTCACAAAGTAACACAATCAATTTTCATAGCCTGTAATGTGAGTGACAAATTATTAATGTCTAACAAATTTGAATACACTATTAGTTAATATTCAAATTTAATAGGTATATTGCCTACCTCATGGTTAGATCGGAGCTTGTCTCTTTGCGTTGATGAACATCCTGTTGTTTTGACCGTAGAGCTAGTACAGACCTTTGTCCCTGTGCTGACCTATCCTCCTGTTTTGATCTTTGTTTCCTCCTTGAACTTGGAACACTTCTTGACATTTGACCTTTTTGTTGTGTTTTAAAACTAATCAAGTTTTTGCCGCAAGGTAGCTTTTTCCTATCAGTCGGTTGCCTTCTGGTTTGTGGTGTCCTGTTTGTCTTCTGCATCCTCCATTGTTCCAATCTCGCCTCCATAATCTCTACAAATTTTAACCAGCTTCTTAATTTGTTATCATTTTTTTTTTTATTAATGCATTGATTTAATGTAAGGGCATACTTCTCACTTATGCTGTTTCACAATACAGTAGAACCCTTCCTTTGGGACACCCCTATAAGGAGAAGAATTTTTGGACCACAAAATGAAGGTAAAGTACATAAAACACAGTCAAACCCTATTCAGGGGACAGCACCTCTATTGGACATCCTAGTAAGGGGACACTTTTATTTTGGATCTTCTTCTGTAGTACAAACAAAATATTACCATGTATTGTTGATTTATTCAAAAAACAATTTCATAAGTAGTAGAATAGAGAATAAGAATTTCAGTAGTAGTAGAATAAAACAATACAATAAATCACTGGCAAACAGTGATTTGAAGTATTAAATCATTTACAATACAGTGAAGAATTCCTAATTTCTCAAAATCATTTAAAGATGAAAAGAGAAAGAAAATTTTAATCAAACTAGGTCATGAGTGCCATTTGCGGCCATCTAGAGGTGCATAACCATACTGTAAAAGTTTTTTAATTGTGCGGAGGATATCTACAAAATCAGCTCACATTTGCACGGAAATTCGCTGGGAAAATAGGTGCGCTGAATCTTAATTGCTGCACAATTGCATTGGTTATACAGTACATTAAGATTTGGTCAAAGCCTAATTTTCGGCAAAATATGCGTGGAAATCGGCCCTTATTTTTCAAAATGCACGGACAGACTTCTAGGCAAAATTTTGGCGCCAAAGATATATTCCCCACGAGTCTGGTAACCATAAATGTTCTTGCTTCAGCATTAATCTGCACCTTCTTTCCAGGGGGGTTATACTGTATGTTCTGACTATTGCATCATATAACTAACAGCTGCATAATGAGGATCCTTTCATTAGTGGAAACAAATTTGTCCAACATAGTAACAAAATAATTTAGAGATTTGGAAGGCTTCTTTAATCAATATTTAATACATCTTTGCTTTAATTGATTCCAAAAATTAATATACATACATATATACCTATCTAGGCCTACTGTAAAACCTTGAATTGAAACCCTGGACTTCATTTCTTTACGAACTTTGCATGGGCTTCCTTGGATTGGATTGGATTTATTCGGTGTAAAGGATAGCCCATGAAAGTCTAAGACTTATTTCCAGTGTGGTCCTTCTGGTGGTGATTGGGCAGTACACCAGGAGATAATCAACTACTGTTTTCCGAAGAGTGTACTGCGTTCTTTAACGTGCACATGGGCCATAATGCACATGTAACCAATGGCTTAAACGTCTCATACAAAAGATAGTGCGCTACTTTTAACTTGTATTTCAGCCCTCCAGCTGAAACACAAGGAGAGGCAGCGATGGGAATTGAAACTGGGGACCTAGAGATCTTCACGGTTCAGTGCACACACAGTGGTTACCACCAGATTAGCTGAATGAGCTAAGCTGCTCTATCTTTTCGAGATGGGCTTCTTTTCGAGGCTACTTTTGCAAAGTACAGTAACTGTCTCTTATACACATCTAGATGTGTATAAGAGACAGGTAACTTAATGGTCCATTCTAATGTATTTATA